AAATTATCTAGATCTCTAAACAATGATATTTTTAATGGTCATTGTGTTATCGTCTTTTATGCGGCGGTAAATAATTCACATGATATTTACGCAAATTAACGAAAGAATGGGAGTGTACACACATAACATCACTCTTGATGACGATATCGGGGCGTGTGAATAAATAACCATCCATCTTGGTTGACCTTGCTTACGTGATCATCTCGGCGAGCAATTCTCCACCGGACGGCACCGTGCCAGCCACGGAAGAGCTCCAATTCTACGAGGAAGGAACACGGTCTTCCACGACCGTTGCCGCTCTCCCTCGTAGAATCAAAGCTCCTCCTTGACGTCCGTTACCGCTTCGGCGGAAGAACGTGCTCGCCGAGATGAACACGGTCCGCAAGTTCAACTAGTATGGATTTTCTATAATTTTCTAACTATTTTCTAAGTTTATATTTATATATATACTACGTTTGGATACGGTGATTGACGGACTACTGCGGCGATATCGGGACATGTGAATAAATAACCATCCGTACTAGTTGACCTTGCTTACGTGATCATCTCGGCGAGCATTTCTCCACGAGACGGCACCGTGCTTGACCACGGAAGAGCTCCAATTCTACGAGGAAGGAACACGGTCTTCCACGACCGTTGCCGCTCTCCTCGTAGAATCAAAGCTTCTCCTTGACGTCCATTACCGCTCGGCAGAGAACGTGCTCGCCGAGATGAACACGGTCCACAAGTTCAACTAGCTACTTTAACCTTATTTCATGTAAATATGCAAGCTTGAAGTGATTTTGAGCTCAAATTGCTTACAAATGAAAAAAAAACCAAAATAAAGAACCATATATATATAGTGAACAAAATGAGATAAGACAATAGTGAAAAATGAGAGTATGAGATTGGTAACCTTTACAACTGAAGAATCGACGGAGGAATCAAGAAATCGATGGAGGAATCGAATAATGGATGGAGGAACAATGGAGGAGGGGAGGAAGCAAGAACACTAGTGCAGTGAGCTTCAAAATATCTTGAGCTCGGGCTCGGGGAGGAAGAAGGAGGCGGCCGGGATATAAAGGGGGACCTTTAGTCCCGGTGGTGGCTCAACAGGGACTAAAAAGTAACTTTCTAACCCCGACGCAGCCACGGCCGGGAGTAGACCTTTACTCCCGGTTGGAGCCCCCAACCGGGAGTAAAAGTACCTTTAGTCCCGGTTGGTGGCTCCAACTGGGACTAAAGGTCCCCGCCACCTCTGTCTGGCGCAGTAGCCGTTGGGGCAGGGACCTTTAGTCCCGGTTGGAGACACCAACCGGGACTAAAGGTATTTCTAATCCCGGGCGCAAAAAATTCTGGGACTAGAGCCCATTTTGGCCGAGGATCAAAGGCTTGTTCTCTACTAGTGGTTCCTTCAATTGTGGCACTGGTGTTACCCAACTGTTTAACAGTTTCTATTAGAGAGTGTCACAATCCCTAACCATCTTTTGTTTAATTTGTAATTATTTTATTCGTTTGAAAAGACCAAATTGACTATATATTGGAGTTCACTAAAAATTACCCACCAATTCCATTCACTTACCACAATGTAGTTTTCATAACCTTCAAGATAATTTTTATCTATAGTGCAGTTGATCCAAATGGTCCCAGAGAAATTGATTACAAACTGTTTTCTTTTAAGGAAAAAAATGGGTTGATTCCTTTTTTGTCCGGAAAGTATGCATTGAGCTATCAGCTAGTAATGTGGGATGATATTTCAAAATTATTTCTTCAGGCTTATTGGTTCAGTAATTTTGTCCCTAAAAATGATTACTTCCATTTAGGGATCCACATCTGCGGTACCATATTAGTTAGGTATATGAACGAGATGCCGCTTAGGATTATAGCTAACCCCGCGCAAGAGAATTGCAGTATCTTATTGCTAGGTTAAGCTGGCGTTACAATCATTTTGCATGCTTTGCGAAACGCAGGCAGGTGCTTGCCTAACAGAGTGTGCAAATCTCTTGTACTGTGGCTAGCAAAGTGGAACCATTTGCAACTTGATTACACTCTCTCTTCATCTGTTCATTGCAATCAACAACAATATGGGTGAGGTCTATTTGGACTCGGCCATCACAAAACCTACTTCAGACTAGAATGCTTCCTTGCATCGTACAGCTTCTACCACCATGAACAGTTCAAGACGAGCGACTCAAGTATAATGTGTGCACCATCTAACCCTGAGCATAGCCACAGATCTCGATGCCTCCAAATCCCGCATGGCTACGTAACTTACGGGTGCTTTCTCTCACGGACACAAGCATACACACTCCCTCTCATGTGTTTCCTTTTGTCAAAGACTGAATGGCAGGCAAGATGCTACTTGTGTGCTTTTTATAAGGGCCAAGATAATTTGGGGTCCTGGCCGGCACGCAGCTGCAACACCAAAAGCACATAGTTTCCAAAAAAACACATGCACGTAACTTCAGTATGTCGCAGAAAATTAATGATCCCAGTTGAATCAGGAATGTTTGGCCAAAAGAGTAGAGACAGGAAACTTCATTTTACGAATAATTCCTCTTTTACCATTACAAATGTCTCCAATCCAAAAAATGCAATTAGGAAAAACACTAATAGGAGACATGCTCTATCTACGTTGATGTTACGTTCACTACTGCATGTTCATGGATCACTCCGAAATCGGACTCAACAATGGGTATTGGATGGGCTTGCCCATCGCTGCCGGTTTTCAGATCCTGCAGTGACAGGAGGGTCAACACGTGGGACCGGTACCAAAACATGTGGGACCATGCGGTACACATAATTTTTAAGTAATTTTTAGTTATTATTGAAACAAATAAAGGCTACTCCAGTAATTTCACCCTTTACTTAGTACGTACAGATACAGATTCCTACCCTTTCTTGGTCCGTAGGCGTACAGATACAAGTACGCAATACAAGTCCAGCCACGGTCGCACACCGTATGTACAGTACCAAAACAAAGCTGAGCCACCGCAGCTGCCGCACGCGGCACACCGGCAGAGGATTTGGTGGAACATATTTGAAATAAGTTTGGTCGCACTCAAAATATGTCTGGAGTTTGAGATACAATATATGTAATCATTTTTGTTTATGTGTAACTTTTTTATATATGCTGAGTGCGTTCATGAGTATTGTAATTAATTAATATATTTACTATGTTTATTTGGCCTGAGATAGACTATGCGAGCGCTTTTATATACGTGGTTGATCCCTAGCATGCAGCCGTACAAGATAAACACAACAAACACGGCTACAAAGTAATCCAGCATATTTGATCCCAGTAAAACACAATAATTAAATGCTACAACAAGTCTATGAAACAGTGAAATGAAACTATCCCATTGAGAGAGGTTGTTTCATGTTTCAATTTCCAATACTACAGTAACATGAAACAATACATTGAGACTAGCCTAATAGCATTGGTCCAGCTTTAATCACTTTTCCCTCACTACACACTAGGACACAAGCAAAGATACAAGGAACAAAGGATAGATGGCCCCCACAATAAAGTTTAGTGTATTTTTCTAGATGCACAATGGTGAATGTATTCGTTGGTCTATTTGTGCAACTAGAAGGGGTGGGATGTGTTGACTAAGATCAGTGTTGCTTTTTTTTCATCCCCCCCACCCCCCCCAATTGTGCAGTTTCGGTTGCTTCAATCATGGCACTGGTCTTTCCCAACTTTCTAACTGTTTCTATTTGAGATTCTCGTCATCCCTGACTATCTTTTCTTGATGTTTTACTATTTTATTCATTGAAAAGGATCAAATTGACAATATATTGGAGTTCACTAAAAATTACCCACCATTGCAATTCACTTACCACAATCTAGTTTTCAAAATCTCCAAGCTACCTTTTAATAATCTTTAATGCAGTTGATCCAAATGGCCCCAAAGAAATTGATTACAAACTGCTTCCTTTTCAGAAAAATGGGTTGCTTCCTTTTCGTCTTGAAAGGTGTATGCATTGAGCTAGCCATCAGCTACACTAACATCGGATGATATTTTAAACTTATTTCAGGCTTATTGATTCTGTAATTTTTCCCCAAAAAATGATTACTTCCATTTAGGGATCAACATCTTCTCCTCGGCTTCTCAAGACTGATTGCGGTACCATATTAGTCAGGTATATGAACTGAGATGACGCTTAGGACTGCTATAGCTGACCCCGTGCAAGAGAATTGCACAATCTTATTGCTAGCTTAAGCTGGGGTTACAACTGGTTTATGTTTAATAAATCCCAATAGGGGGCTACCCGTCCTGTTTTCCTCAAAAGCTGCATGCACATCTCTTCTAGGTAGCAAAGTGAAATCATTGCTACTTGATTACACTCTCTCTTCATCTGTTCAATCAACAACGATATGGGTCAGGTCTATGCAGACTCGGCCCTCCAACTTCAGATTAGAATGCTTCCTTGCACCGGTCAGCTTCAACTACATTAAGCACTTCAACACGAGCTATTCGAGTACTGTGTGAGCACCATCTAGCCCTTATCACTACTACACAAATTAACTGTAGGAGCGGCTCTAGAGCCTATGTAGGGGCGGCTGCGCTAGCCGCCCTTCCCAGGTTGTTCCTACAGAGGGTGCCTCTGTAGGGGCGGTTTCCTGACCGCCCCTGCAGTGCCCTCTGTAGGAGCGGCTGGTGTTTTCAGCCGCCCCTGTAGCGGACTTCTGTAAGGGTGGCTGTATCACCAGCCGCCCCTGCTGTGTATATTTGTAAGGGCGGTTCAATCAAGAACCGCCCCTACAGTTTATTTTTCAGCAAAAGAAATAAATAATTCAAATTCAAATCTGACCACATATATATATTTAATTCAAATTCATATACATGAAGTAGTATCAAAAGCCATTACATGTCCCTCCAACATACTGCAAGTAAACCTACTTGCTACTTGAACTAAGAAGATAAGAAGCAACAGGCATGTAACTAATAATCTTCTAGAAGGGAAGGAAACTAACTTCAAGATAATGCTTCCTATGAATAGTCTGCACATACTTCTCAGTTCACAGATGACAAGTCATTATACCTACATAAAGAAAATACATACAAGTGGTTAGATTATGATCTCTATTGATTGAAAATGTATCATTATTTCATTCACTCAACTTGTAAAATTACAGGTTCAGTTCAGCTGACAAAGATAAATAGCAACAGAAGCACTTGGCACTTGAACTGTAAACTCATGAAGATGGAGACCTCTATTTTAGACAGGGTGATGGTAACTAATAAATAATATAGAAGTATGCAAGAAACTGTCCTTGGCCTATCTAGCACTACAGTAATAAATGTTGGTTATATGCTTATATGATCCCTGCTTACAAGGGGAAGCTTGGAAGAACATAAGCAATAAAATGACAACAGAGTTTTGACAGTTAACTTGGGATGCTTCCAATGAGTTCTATATAAGTTTAGTGAAATTAATGATACAGTTATCTGACTTAGCAGTATATATCCTACTCGTATGCATTACTAAAATGACAAATAGTAAGAAGGTTAGAAAGACACGAGGTTCTGCAGATGATTTTCGTACCACTGTGATGCGACGTTAACGATGAGAAGAAGCTTCCCCTTGTAGGTGCTGAGGTCAACATCTTTGCCGCTCGCATCCTGCACACTAGCAGCAAGCAAAAAGCCATCATTAGACTCCCTTTGCAAATTCGCCATTTTAGTGCAAGTATTCTATGATGTCAATGTAACTGAAGGTACTGAGACTTTATATCAGTAAAATTTTGGCATAAGCACAAGTCATACACATCATCCCAACTAGGACAGAAAATTATCTGATTCCTATGAGAGTTAATTAAACTGATTCATACCTAACTGCTTTGAATTCTAATGAAACATGTCCCAATGCTCCTGCTTGAAACCAAACATGTCCTCACTTGGCAATTGCTCCTGCTTGAAACCCAACATGTCCTCACTTGGCAATTGCTCCTGCATTAAACTACAGTACACAGAGAGGCAATGAGGGAGGGAGGTACCTGATATTCCATCATGTATAAACATCAGGAAAGAAAGAAAATACTTCACATATATATATATATATTCCATCATGTATATCTTTGCTTAGATGTATGCCTAGTAGCTACTGGGAAGTGAATAAGATAGAGATCGAGATAATCTAGTTGCAGCTTCTTCAAGCTATCCTTGCAGGCGTCAAGCACATGGCCATGATCTGAGTTCCACAAATTTGCAATGAGAATGTATTCTAGACTTTCAATCACATGAAGATTATGGAATAGAGTGGGGCAAAAAAAACCTGCGATGAGAATACGTGAAGGTAGCATTCGTAATTTAGATTACCTTGGTTGTGATGAACAGATCCTCCTTCTTGACAAGTCCATTCTGAAATGCCTGCTGAGTGCATCACCGACTTCAACTTTGGTAGTTAGGCTCACAGAGCAAGTTACCAAACACAGACGATAAAAGCACCAAGTAGAGAAGGAAAACTCACATGCCGACACTAGTAGTTGGGACCATATTATCATACTCCATGATTGATAAAGAAATCGTCATGGACAGCACAGTGTGGTGTCTAAGCATGCCTGTATCATTCATACTATGAATCAAGTGTTTATCAAGATACCAGATATCTAAGAAATCTATTAGCAAACATCAGGACACTACAGCTTCGATTCATATTTGGATATTCCATGACCGCCAAAGACATTTCAATCATGTAGTACATTACAGCTTCGATTCATATTAGGAAACTCATCTCTAAGCCAGTTGTAGGGAAAATAGCAATTATATTAACAACTGAACTGTAATATAACATGGATTACTTCATGTTTGTTCTATATATTAGATTGTACCCAATTATAGTATGGTGTACAAGTAAACATTGTCATTAGTACATAATAATCTAACTTCATGGTATAGAGCTACAAATTATTAGTTCTGACCAAGCAGATATTTGTGGGATCACCTCTTCCCCGAGCAGCTAGAAGCACCTATCTGTCATCCCAAAATTGGTGACATGAAAAATTCAACTCTTGAGAACTCACATCCATCAGGCAAATCTAGTGGTAGATGGGGGCAAGCTAACAGACGGACACACTTGCCACTGTGAGAAGAGATTTCCAGTTAAAAAGTGTGAGATCTGAAATATGCAAAACATTTGTCAGAACAAATGAAAATCTGGACTTCAATATGAACGCTGAATTAAGCCCCTACAGAAATAATCGAGACACTTCTGCCTCTTTGAGAAGGAACACATCTCATCTCTCGTAGCGCTCGTCCAGAAGGCACACATGCAAACACTTGAACTCACCTGGCAAAGGTCGAGATCCAGCTTGTAATCCTGCTCCTCACCGCTAGATCTATCCTCTACCACTAATGCAGTTGAGAGAAGCTCCATAGAGATGAATGTCACCCCTTCAACTCCACGACACCTGCTAAATCGGAATCGAGGTGAAGAGGGATGGATGGATGGACTCATGGATTAGGGGCACACAACGTGCAGGATGGGTGATGTGTACCTGGCCGTGGCCGATGAGTTCGAGACTGATGCAGTGTAAACCTTATCGCGGACAGGTAAGCAGCTGTCGCCTCCACCACGGCAGATCCGAAGGAGGAGGTGCCGCCTGATCTGGAGGAAGGCGGTTCTCTGCTTCTCATCGCGAGTGGGAAGCCCGGCTTTCGTGACTGGGGACGCCTCCAAGGACGAGGGAGGGGCCCGTCGGTCCTTGCTAGATCTGGAAGAGGGAGGCACCGCCGACTAGATCTGGGTGGAGGAAGGCGGTGCCGGTTAGCTCTTGGTGGAGGGAGGAGGCGGAAGAGGAGACGATAGAGAGGGGTGGCAGCGGCGGAGGAAGGACAGCAGCACTGGACGAGGGGTTGGGAGACGACGGTGAGATCCTAAAGTTTCAACGCCAGTGAGAAGCGGATGACCGGCGGCGACGGCGGAGGGGGTGCGCTCCCAGTCGATGAGAGAAGACGGAGGGGGCGGGGTGGGGAGACGATGGTGAGATCCTAAAGTTTCGACGCCGGTGAGAAGCGGATGACCGGCGGCGGCGGCGACGGCTAACCCTAGCACAGGAGAGGAGAGGGAAGGAGAGGAAAGAGAGTGGGCAAGTCGAGGGGGAGGGGCAGACGGACGTGAGTCCTGCGATTAAGCGGATTTCATCTTTTTTGCGGTCCACAGCGACGATCACTGTAATATACCTCAGAGCTACTGTAGGGGCGGCTGAGGTTATAAGCCACCCCTACAGTTGAATCAAAGCCACTGTAGGGGCGGCTGAGGTTATAAGCCGCCCCTACAGTTGAATTTTTTTCAAAATTATACATCAAAATGAATTATTCACATGTAAATAATAAATAATACAGTACAAAATTTTATAATTAATTTTTATAGATATATTTACACATAGAATAACTAAAACAACTACAATAATTTAAAATTACAAAATTGAACCTTTAAAAATGGGAAAAAATTATATTTTAAATAATTAAAATCAAAATTACTAAAATAAATTTGAGACACCAAATGATCTTAAATGAAAATTTGGTAAACATCAAAATTGTAGAGGTCATGAAGATCTACAACTTTTATTTTGGTCATCTTGTAATTTGATAAAATTTGAACATTTCAAATTTTAAATTTTAAAAAATGACAAGTTTGAATCAAAATTTAAGACCTAAAATGATTTCAACATAAAAAGTGATGAATACCAAAGTTGTTCAACTCATTAATATCTACAATTTTTTATTTTAGTCATCTTGTCATTTGACAAAATTTAAACCTTTCAAATTTGAAATTTTGAAAAATGACAAGTTCGAACTAAAATTTGAGACCCAAATTGATTTCAACATAAAAAGTGATGAATACCAAAGTTGTTCAACTCATGAATATCTACAACTTTTATTTTGGTCATTTCTTCATTTGATAAATTCTTAGCACACAATATTCACTAATCTTACACATGTCTCATATAGTCTATAAAACCTTATGAGAGATGTGTCACATTTGTGAACAATGTTATTACCACCTTGTCATATAAAGAAATGACCAATACAAAAGTTGTAGATCTTGACGAGTTATTCAACTTTGGTATTTATCACTTTTTCAGCTGAAATCATTTGGGGTACCAAAATCTTGTTTGAAGTTGCATTTTTTTGAAATTCAAAATTTAAATTACTCAAACTTTTTATGTGTATATATAGACAAAACCAACAAAATAAATTGATAGAGAATGATTTTAAAAAATTTTAAAAAAAATCATCAGATTTGGAGTTAGTATGAGGAAGAAAAACAAGTTACAAAGTTGACCCACAAATTAAAAAAAGAAATCACACTGTTCACTATGATCATGTAAATATCATCTAGAACAATGTGATTTCTCTTTTTAATCTGTGGTTAAATTTTGTAATTAGTTGTTCTCCCTCGTACTAACTCCAAATGTGATGGTTTTTTTTCCTAAAAATTTCTAAAATCTTGCTTCAGCATTTAAGTTTGATCAAACTTGGATGTGACAATGTTTTACACATTTTAAATTTTGAAATTTGGAATTTGACAAGTTCAAACCAAAATTTCAAACCATAAATGATTTCAGATGTAAACGTGATGAATACAAAAGTTGTTCAACTCAACAAGATCTACAACTTTTATTTTGGTTATCTTGCCATTTGAATAAATTTGAATATTTCAAATTTGAAATTTTAAAAAATGACAAGTTCGAACCAAAATTTGAGACCCAAAATAATTTCAAAATAAAAAATGATGAATACCAAAGTTGTTCAACTCATTAATATCTACAACTTTTATTTTAGTCATCTTGTCATTTGATAAAATTTGAACCTTTCATATTTGAAATTTTGAAAAACGACAAGTTCGAACCAAAATTTGAGACCCAAATTGATTTCAACATAAAAAGTGATGAATACCAAAGTTGTTCAACTCATGAATATCTACAACTTTTATTTTGGTCATTTCTTCATTTGACAAATTCTTAGCACAAATTATTCACTAATCTTACACATGTCTCATATAGTCTATAAAACCTTACGAGAGATGTTTCATATTTATGAACAATGTCATTACCACTTTGTCATATGAAGAAATGACCAATATAAAAGTTGTAGATCTTGATGAGTTATTCAACTTTGGTATTTATCACTTTTTCAACTGAAATCATTTGGGGTACCAAAATCTTAGCTGAAGTTGTATTTTTTTGAAACTCAAAATTTAAATTGCTTAAACTTTTCATATGTATATATTGACAAAACCAAAAAAATAAATTGATAGAGAATGATTTTAGAAAAATTTAGGAAAAAATCATCAGATTTGGAGTTAGTATGAGGAAGAAAAACTAGTTACAAAGTTGACCCACAGATTAAAAAAAGAAATCACACTGTTCACTATGATCATATAAAGATCATCTAGAACAGTGTGATTTCTCTTTTTAATCTGTGGCTAAACTTTGTAACTAGTTGTTCTCCCTCATACTAACTCAAAATGTGAGTTTTTTTTCCTAAAAATTTCTAAATTTTGCTTCAGCATTTAAGTTTTATCAAACTTGGATGTGACAATGTTTTACATATTTTAAAATTTGAAATTTAAAATTTTATAAGTTCAAACCAAATTTTCAAACCCTAAATGATTTCAGATGTAAAAGTGATGAATACAAAAGTTGTTCAACTCATCAAGATCTACAACTTTTATT